GACTGGTGTAAGAATTACCCAAATGGACAATTTTAAAACTTTTTATCATGAAAATTTTCAAACAAACACAAAGGTAGGGAGAATAGTATAACAAATCCCCGTGTACCCATCACCCAGCTTCAATAGTTATCAATATTTTACCAATTTAGTTTCATCTATTTCTGCCAATATTTTTCTCCCATTGAGATATTTTAAAGCAAATACCAGACATTGTATCATTTCATTCTAGAACATTATAAAAATAATTTCTTTAGGAGGAGAAACTCAGAAACTAGTATTATGTAGATTCCATGTGATAGTAATTGATTAAGATTTATTGATTGACACAGGGTTTATTTGAATATGAACTCACCTATATCTTACAAATACTGTAGTGTTTCCACAGTAGAAGGCATGAGAGTTGGAAACCACTATCTTAAAGCATGGATCCTTGTCAAATGTAGTTCCCCTTGGGAGAAGTTGTGAATAATTTTTAATTTATACCATTTATACCTCATGCTGAATAAATTACAGATTTTCTGGAGGGGAAGTATTTTTTAGATTATTTCATTGAGGTATAATTTATATCATCAAAATGCACAGGTCTTAAGTTGATGAGTTTTGACCACGTATACACCTGTGTAATCAACACCCAATCAAGATATAGAACATTTCCTTCAACCCCAGAAAGTTCCCTGGAGCCCTTTTCCAAAACTCCTCTGCCCCTCCCCATTCCAGCAGAGCCAGAAGCAATCTCTGTTCTGATTCCTATCACTATGTATTAGTTTTACCTGTTTTGGGAGGTAGGTTTTTATCTAGAGCAGTAGTTCTCCAAGGATGGTCCCTGGACCAGCAGTACTAACATCACCTGGAAACTTGTTATAAATGCAAATTCTTGGGTCCTAACCGTGATTGAGTCAGAAACTCAAAAACCTAGCAATGTGTGTGCTTGTGTTACAAGCCCTTCAGGTGATTCTGATGTGTGTTCAAGTTTGAAAAGCACTATATAGAGAGTTGGAGAACTAACAATAAAATTGGATGGAGCAGGGAGGGCAATGCTGGTTGTGTGTTGGGTGGAGTAGGATGGGAGGGAGCTGGGCAGGTGCGCATGAAAGACAACATCTTCATAGCTTAGTTTACACCAAAAAGAAGGAGGACACGTCAGGCGTTTGTGTCAGAACTTCTACCTCTTTGGTTTGTGAAATAATAATGGCGGTTTACAGGCTCTTCTTTAGAATTTCAAAGGTCAGGATGGAAGTCTTACAATTTCTCAAAACAGAAGCATCGATTTTATATAAGTTTTAAATTCTGTGGAAACATTGGTTATCAGAAGCTCTGACTGGCAAGCAAATGTGTCCTTTTAAATTGAAAAATGAGTCATTGTTTATTAATACTATTTGTTTGATAGACAAGATCTTTTATACAATCTTCTTTCCTTGGAAAGGAAAAAAAATAGAAATTGCTCTTTATGTTGAAACCCAGCTCTAAGATCTGAGAAATCCACAAACCACTAAACCACAATCCCCACCTGGAGAATAATTGACAAGTTCCTGTGAAGACTGCCCAAATGTAAATTTCTCTAGCAAGGAGAAGAGCGTCCAAGTGTATAGCCAGCTATTTTCCATGGCTCCCTTATGAGGTTCAAGATGGGAAGGTTAGTGAAAGGAACTAATTCAAGTTGCATCTGGATGTGAATGGTGTTTTTGGCATGCACTTGGTTGTGTTAACGCATGGAACTGTTGTCCTGGAGCTTCTGAAATCACACCAGCTAAGAAGCAGTGTGTTTCCTGTCTTGAACATTTGTGGGAAATCCAGAAACAGATGATATGTGTACCCAGGCTCTCGGGAGCGTTATTGTGGTTTTCTTGAGCCAGATTCTAGCCCATGGCATTCTGGAAATTAACTCTGAGGAAGAAGATCCCATGAGTCTGGTAGGGTGTGAATTTGGCCTGAAGTTCCCCTTTATCTACTCTCAAAGTAGTTACCCTCCTCCTGGATTTTCCTTCCAAGAAGTTGGTGTTGTGTTCCACAGATAGAGCTGCATGAGACTGAAAATATTTACCAGTCCTTTGATAGTGACTGTTTGATGAAGAGCTTCCAGTTTCCAGGAACTAGATCCTGGTAAAGGAGAAAACACCAAGACATCCAGCGTGAGTCATAGGTAGCTGAGGATGGTGGAGAGAGGCAGAGCCTTTTGCCCCTGAGATACCAGCTGGAATTTGGTCCAGCCTGACTTGACTGAGGCTGATAACTCTGGTCCATTCTTCTCAGGATGCCCTGCTCAGGCCGAGTGACCCCAGGGATGATGCCTCTCTGCTCAGCTGGGGTGCCCCTGGATTTGTGGTAACTTGCAGATGGTTGCCTGTCCCTATTTGCCACATAAATGAAATAAACACTTGATTTCCTGGGCTACACAGTCAAGGCAGTTTGGGTTAAAATGCCACACTCTGTGCTGACTTTCTGAAGTACAGCCACACATTTTTCATTCAAAATCTCTCGTGTTGAAGAACATGCATAGTAATGACTCTCTCTGAGAAAGTGCTACCAAAATTACAAGCTGTCAGGCCAATCGGTGGCTTAAAGCACAAGTTGTATTTTCTATTTTCATCTTTTCTTAGCATATTTTCTTTTAAGCAATATACTTCTTAGGTAATTTGACTGCTTAAGGACTAAAGGCTTTCTTTCCACACAGAAAATTAGAAGAGGAAATTTGAATTAAAAATTATTTCCTTTTTTAAAAAAAGCATCACTGTATCACTTTGATGCAGGAATTTCACTTCTAGAAGTTTATCCTAATGAAACAAGATATGTACAGAAATGTACATAAGAGGCTGTTCATTGTAGCACTGTTTATAATAGTGAAAACTTGGAATCAACATAAATGTCTGTGTAATGATTAAATAATGTGCGCTATAATGTAGCCTTTCAAAAGAGTGAGGCAGTTTATAGTACTAATGTGGAAAGAGCTTTAAAAACATTAGAGAAAAAAAGACTTCTAGTTTCTGGTACAGCATGTAAGGGAAGAAATTGAATCAATAATTAATAACATTCCAAAACAGAAAGCACCAGGCCCAGATGAGTTCAGTGGTGAATTCTACCAAACATTTAAGGAAGAAATACGAATTCTCTACAGTCTCTTCCAGAAGTTGGAAGCAGAAGGAATACTAACTCATTCTGTGAGGCCAGCATTACCCTAATACCCAAATGACACAAAGACATTACGAGCAAAGAAAGCTACAGACCAATATCTCTCACGAACATAGAGCAAAAATTCTCAATAAAATATTGGCAATTTGAATCCAATAATATATAAAAAGAATTATATACCATAACCAAGTGGGATTTATCCCAGGTATGCTAAGCTGCTTCAGCATTCAAAAATCAGTTAATGTAACCCATCACATCAACAGGCTAAAGAAGAAAAAGCACATGATCATATTGATAGATGCAGAAAAAGAGGCACAAAGCCAACACCCATTCATGACTAAAACTCTCAGCAAACTAGGAATAGAGGAGAACTTCTTCAACTTGATAAAGAACATCTACAAAAAACCTACAGTTAACATAATACTTAATGATGGGAAATTATGAATCTTTCCCACTAAGGTATTTTTTTACATTTTAAATGGAATTTATTCTATCTCTATGGAATTTATAACTACCTCAGAGGATGCAGTGGGGGAGGAGCTTGGGACCAGAGCAAGAGCGCCCACTGCCGCCCCGGATCTGTAACCATAACCTCTTCCCTCAGCTAACACCATTGCAAGTATCATTCCACATGATAGGGCTGTGTGTTTGGATCTGTGCCATGGCCTCACCTGAGGCGAACCGGAGGGCTCTCGCCAATGTGGAAGGAGTGCTTGAGCCCTCCCCTCCTCACCTTTGAGGCTCCCTCACTGGCCAAAGCCTTGTGGGACCCTTAGTGGCTGCTTCATGGACCAGGAACAGGTTTATCGTAAGCAATTTAAAAGTTTTAATACAAACCAGTCTACGTTCATTCCTAGAAGACTCATTTCCAGTAAAAAAAAAAAATACGCCAGTAAAAACATTCTCACGGGAGGACTAGGGCAGGGGGTTAAAAGGAGACTTGGGCTGTAGCCCCCAAGACTGACTCTCGGGGCCAGCTTGAGGGCAGGCAAAGGACGAGGTTCCAGGGCAGGGCGGGGGCTCTTCTCCGTTTTCAGATCCAAGCGTGAGGCTCCCCGGCAGAGTGAACCCAAATGTAAACTATGGATTTGGGGTAATAATGATGTGTCGATGTAGCTTCATCAGTTGCAACAAATGTACCCCTGTGGTGCAGGATGTTGATAATAGGGGAGGCTGTGCGTGCGTGGGATGGGGGGGTGGGGGGTGTTGTATATAGGAATTCTTTGTACTTGCCATTTAATTTTGCTGTGAACTTAAAACTGCTCTAAAAAATTGTTTTTTTAAAAAGCAGGTACTCAGTAATATGATGTAATTGCATTTATGTTAAAAGCCACACACACATAGAGAACTATATATCTATCTAGCCACCTGTGTGTATGTATAAGTCTAAATCTATCTATATCTGTATTATTTGTATATACCAAACTGTTACGAGTGTTACCACCAGGATTGAGGTTGAGGGAGGGGAGAGGCACCCTCTGCTGTACTCTGTAGTCTGGAAAATTTTAGCTTTTGACAGAGTACTCCTTTGTCACTTATGGAAATAAGGAGCTTGCTGCAAAGCATATGTCTCTGGATCCTCCTTTCAAGGAAACATTACAAGGTAAAGTTGCCTGGCAATTTTAAAATACAACGTTGTAGCACTTTGCAGCACATTTGTTCATTCAGCAAGTATTTTTGAGTGCCTCATTTGTGCCAGGCATTCTGCCAGGCCCTGGGGATGGCGGGGTGAAGGGGAAGCAGCCCCTGGGATCCCTGTTCAGGGTGCAGGCAGTACCCAAGGAGGGGAGAGTTGTTTTTTTAAGTCTGTTTGTTCCCAGGAGGCAAAAGTTCTGCATAGCTTGGGAAAGCTGACTGTGATTCCCTCTCCTCAGAGAAGCCGTGTGGAGACCCGCCTTCGTTCCCACACACCATCCTGCAGGGACGCACCGGCTTGGAGATGGGGGATGAGCTGCTGTATGTGTGTGCCCCGGGCCACGTCACGGGCCATCGCGAAACTGCCTTCACCTTGCTTTGCAACAGCTGTGGGGAGTGGTACGGCCAGGTGCAGGCCTGCGGGAAAGGTAAGCCGACCCTGGCTGGCCCCCTCCACCTGCCTGCACACTGAGCAGAGCGCCTCCACTTTGGCTGGCGGCTTGTGGTGGGCTCTTCTCCACAAAGGTCTCTTTGAAAGAAGCTTTCACTTGAGTTCTGGACCTGGCAACATGTCCGCTTGGGCGTTCCTACAGCATTTCAAATGAGAAGTTGTATCCACAACTGAGCTCTTCATTTTCCATGCTGGGGGTGAAGGATGAACAAGACCCTCTCTTCTTCAATAACGACAGAGTTGACCTTGGGTAACGTTCTAGCTTATTGCCCTGGAAACCTGATCAACATGGAGTGCCAGCTATGTTACTAAGCAACAATGCTTATGGTAAAAACGACTCCCGATTGGTAAACTGGGCTGGGAGGGCTGTCATCAACACAGGAGAGGAACCCCAGCTTTGTGCTTCCCAGGGGGTGGTTATTCTTGTGACTGGGCATGACCCTTGTGGGGACCCTGAGAGCTATGCTATGAGTTGTGACAAGAGCTCTTGTGGGCTTGTAAACCAGGGTGGCTCCACAGCCACACATGTGAGTCCTGTTCCCTTGCACCTGAGCAATCATGGGGGTCTGGGGGGTGGAGGGTGAAGCAGGGAGAATAACTCCAGGGCAGCTGTGTGGACTGTTCCCACTGATGACGGTTACCTGTCACTGCCCTGTTGCCTGGCTCTATTCCCTGGCCTGCAGCAGTCACATGACTGAATGCTTAGTTGAGACTAAAAAGACTGCTGGTGGGCATTGAGCATCCCAAACCTGATCGGATTATCCCAGATGTCCTCATTTCCTCATTATCATATACCTGGGGGTACCAGGCTTCTGCATCCCACCTCTGCATCTCCACTGCCTCCCTACTCCCGACCTGGGCTATGACTCCTACGCTACGGACCTTCTGCCAGACGCTGTATTTTTCCCTGACCTCACAGGGCTCCTGTCACCCCAAGACTCCTTCAGGGACCGCCTTCCTGACCTCCCACAACATCTGGGTACCAACGGAGGCTGGCTCTATGGAGGGAAATGACTCCAGCACCACAGTGTTACTCAATTTATGGGACAGTTTGTCCCTAGAATGTCCTGCAGATCCCATGGGGGAATCATGATGAGACTAGGGTGCTGTCTTGTCTGCGAGATTCAGCCACATTGTGGCCTGAGCTGTAGCTTGTTGTCTTCACTGCTGTTTACTCTCCATATTGTGAATATACCACCATTTATCTCTCCAGTCTGCTGGTGGATATTTGGCTTGTTGTCGTTTTATGGCTCTCACGGCCTAGGCTGCCGTGATTGTTCTCATCCATGTCATTTGGTTCATGTGTGAACACATTTCTGTTGGTTCCTGGGAGTGGAATTGCTGCCCATGGGGTAGGCGTGTGTTCAGCTTTAGTGGAGGCTGCCAGAGAGTTTTCTAAAGTACAGTGTTTTTTTGTTGTTGTTTTTTGTGAGGAAGATCGGCCCTGAGCTAACATCTGCCTATCCTCCTGTTTTTGCTGAGGAAGACTGGCCCTGGGCTAACATCCATGCCCATCTTCCTCCACCTTATATGGGACGCCGCCACAGCATGGCTTGACAAGCGGTGCATCGGTGCGCACCCGGGATCCGAACTGGCGAACCCAGGGCCGCTGCAGCAGAGCGCGCTCATTTAACCGTTTGCGCCACCGGGCCGGCCCCTAAAGTACAGTGTTTTGACCAGTTGACTCTCCCGCCAGCTGTGTATCAGAGCTCTTGTTCAGCATCCTCACTAACCTACAGGATTATGCGACTTTTTGCCAATCCAGTGACTACTCCATGGTGACTTGTAGTTGTAACATTCATTTCTCTGCTTGAGCACTTATCACACGTTAATTGGGCATTAGCATTTCATCTGTGAATTGTCCAAGTTTTTTGCCCATTTTTCTAATTGATTTGAATTGATTATTTACATAATGTAGGATTTTTTTTTTACATAAAACTTTCTTAATGTGTTGCAAATATATTCTTCCATTCTGTGGCTTATCTTTTTCCTCTTGGAGCATCTTGTAATGAATAGTGGCTTTTTTGTTGTTGTCTATTTCACTACTTCTCAAACTGTGGACCATTAAAAATTTTTTTTCCTAGTCATTGGCGGACTGATACTTTAGTAAAATGCAATAAAAATAAATTAATATAAAACTAAAATAAAGATATTCCAATTATAAACACTATTTTTTAATTAAATAGATATAAAATTCCCTTGTCAAATTGTTACAAAAGCTTCTAAAAAACTTCCTGTCTGCATATCTACTTGCCTTGTTGCATACTAGTAACAAAAAGTTGCACACTGGGACAAGTGCTAGAAGTACAATTTGAGCAATCTTCTAGCACTGTCCTCATCTTTCTTCTGTTGCTGTTGCTTTGTGGCAGGTAGGAGCTCGTTGACAATTCTGACCATTCACCTGTTGGAGAAAATCAAGCATAAGGCCCAAGCTTCCTGTTTGTTAAATGTGTCACCTCAAAGCAGACCCATACTCACCCTGAGCTCTTTAATGAGCTGGCTGTATTTCTGCTGAGAGCTGAAGCCGCACCATCCCATGAGCCACACCTGCCAGCCAAATGGGTTATTTACTGGCCCCAATAGAATGAGAACTAAATGCAAGTTTTGTGTGTCTGAAATGGTGTTTATTTTCTCATTGCAATGCAGAGTTATTAGAGCTTTCAGCTGCTGGGCAGGAATTCTGATTTCTACACTTGGCTGAGTATACAGACTGTTACAGTTTTCATTACAATGTAGATTTAACATTGAAAGTATGTGTGTCATTATAAGAAGTGTGTGTGTTACAAGAATATCTTCACCAAGCATTTCACACACTTGTTTTTCAAGCAAACATCATCAGCTTTTTTGATTAGGCAACTGCTTCAGATTGGAGAGAAGGCATCTTGAGAGAGTCGGTCAATCAAGGGTTTTGGAGTTGGGCCCATCTGGGTTTGGCTAACACCTCTTCCTAGTACTAGTTGATGAGCCATTCATTCATTCATTCATTCATTCATTCCACATCCCTACCTTTGGCAGGGCCCTAGGTACTCTGTATACAAAGTTGAGCAAAACTGTCCCAACTCTAAAGGGAACTCTGGTAAACCAAGTGCCTCAGAGGAGACAGAAAAGCAGTCAATGATGAGGTAGAAAAAGCTAGAAAATGAGGTGTCTCAGAAGGTGAAATTTTAGGGCCGGCCTCATGGTTTAGCGGTTAAGTGCATGCGCTCCGCTGCTGGCGGCCCGGGTTCGGATCCCAGGCGCGCACTGTCGCACCGCTTCTCCCGCCATGCTGAGGCCGCTTCCCACATACAGCAACTAGAGGGATGTGCAGCTATGACATACAACTATCTACTGGGGCTTTGGGGGGAAAATAAATAAATAAATAAAATTATAAAAAAAAAAAAGAAGGTGAAATTTTAAAGGAAGTGTGTATTTCCAGATGGAAGAAGTGCTCGGTGAGCTCAAACGCTGCAGAGATCAAGTAAATGAAAACTAGAAAGTGTTCATTGGCTTCACAGTGTAAGAAAGTTCTGGTGACCTTGTATTTTCAGTGTGTATATGAGGGATGGGATGCATTGGGGCCACCCTGCAGTGACTACAGGAAGGAGTTGGGGTGAGGAAGAGGGCCAAGGGCAGACATGAGGATTAGGGAAGAGACAAAGGGTAGAGCTGGAGGAGGATCAGAGGGCCAAAGAGGTTGTGGGAGTTTGCTTTGTTTTGTTTGCTTGCTTTTGTTATTTTAAGAACGGAGAGACTTAAGCTTATTTAAATGACAAGGGAAAGGCTTAGAAGAGAAGGAGAAATTCAACTATTTTCTTGATTTCCCTAAGCCTTAATTTGCTCATATGAAAAAATGGATACTATTTATCACATAGAGTTACCCTAGGGGTTCCTGCAGGTACCCCACTTAGAATAGGACCCGTGGTCTGGACTCAATGAATGTTCATTCTTTCCCTTTCACTCTCACACTGATCAGGGAGGGCATTCAGACCCTTTCACTTAAGGGATCTAAAGGGATTTGTGCATGACCGTGGCTCCTCACTTCCTTGAATGTTGTTGACTCTAGCCCCTATTACAACAAATAATCAAAGACAGTCTGTGACCTCAACTGTCTGTTACTTGGGCGAGAAGTTAGTCTTTGCCAGCAGGCATCTCAGATTCTGAAGACCAGCAGCTGGTCCTTCCATAAAGGCATGGCCCATGTGGCTTTAGAACTTGATGGAGACCCCTTGGGCAAGCAGCTGGTAACTTTCTAACCTGTGGCTCCCAGGCATTCCGTCCGTACTTGTGGCCCAGCTGCCTCACTTCTCCAGGAATCACTTGTCTCCTCCGTACTGGGCCCAGCCACTGACCCTCCCTCCACATCGTGTGGTCGTCAAAGACTTCTCCCCATCCCCAGCCCGGAACATTTCCTTATATTTCCTTATGAGCGGCTGGAGCCCACTCCAAGCCCTCTAGTGGAACCCACCCATAGACACTGCCCTAGGAGCTCCTCTGCTGAGCTTCAGATAGGGTCCCTGCCCTGTATTCCCCTCATGACCTCTTCAGGTCCAGAGAGCCTCAAAGCTAGGTACCTTGGAGGTCAAGACTTCAAGGAACCTGGGGTTCAGAAGACTTTGGTCTCAGAGATTCTGGGGGCTCAGGGGTTCAGGGCTACTGTGAAGACTATTCCATTCAAATTTGCATCATTTGGGCATTTGAAGACTGGCTGGATGACTTGGGTCAGATTCTCTAAAAGCAGAGCCTATTTAGATGTACATGGTCTGCGGAGGGAGAAAGGGAGTTAGAGAAGCAGCACAGGTGAGGGGAAAGAGTTAAGGATGTGCCTCAGCTAGATTCTTGCTTTGCCTGCACCACAGAGTTTGTCCCACTTGGAAGCAAGGGGACCAGCCTTGAGTTCCTCCGTATCAGTCTGTCATTGGCTGCAGGCTGCTGGTCATGGAGGGCATCTGGCATGTAACCTCCCAAACGAGGCTCCCATTCCATCAAGGGCAGTTC